CTCAAGTACTGTTACAGTTGTTGGTCATGTCCTAAATCTTGTGACGACATATTAAAAAAAATTATATTAAATTATATATTATATATTATAAATTATATATTATATATATAAATTATATATATATTATATTATATATATAATTATATATTATATATTTAAATTTATATTATAGTATTATATGAAAGAAGATAGTAATTTTAAGCGCTCATTAAAAAAAAAAATATTTACACATGATAGGATAGAAAAATAAATTCCGTACTTTGGCATCTGCAGTGAAAGACCTAATTCTCTTTATATTTACATGTGTATGTTTGAGGTATCTTTTCTGTTTTGGTATCTATTAAAACAAATACCGAAATGAGTTAAATTTATAACCAAATCCTAGCTGTACTGTATCCAAAGTATTCAGTTAAGATATTCGAAACGACTCAATATGGAACAGCGCAATGCAGACGCACTTTGTGCGGCCCGACCAAAAGAAAAGCGCGCACCTACTGGTTTTGCAACATAGATGTAGGTGTACTTTTCCCAATATAAAAATCTATATTTTGTAGCCCGTGATTATCCACTGAATCAGCTTTTCAAGAACTGCCAGCTAACCTTCGCTTCTTAGTGGTTTGTACTGGTATATAGGCTAGAAATTCCTTAAGTGTTTATTAAGCGCAACAATGGAATGTTTTGCGAAGTATTATAATATGTAATCATAGTTCAAGAAAATGGATTTTGCTCAACGAATATGCGCTTTCTTGGGATCGAAGAAAGCATTGTACTCAGACTAAGTCTAAGCATTTCTTTCTATTCTGGGGGGGGGGAGATAAAATTCAAATGTAGTAATTACTTTTTCTGTATATACAGAATTGAATGATCTTATTCTAATAGATTTTGTAGTTATGTGACGTCATATAAATATGCAAAAAAGAAATGATTTATGCATTAAAATCCTGTTTGGCCTCTGTTTTAAGGGTACCAAAACTAAAATCTCAGGTAACCTTTGTTTATATCCTTGTAGCAACGTAAGGTATTTCTCCTACCTTCTTAGCATGCCTTCGTGGTGTGGTTATCTGCACGCTGGGCGCGTATTTCAGACGTCCGTGGTTCGATTCCCAGAGAAGACGTTGCTCATTTTTCCAGCTCTCTTGCTTCCAATTAACCTAATGTCTCTACAGTTGCGCCCGAACTAAAAGGGTAGTGGATGATGATTCTCTATATCAAGGATTTGGTGATTGGGTCCCTTAAAAACCCCAGTCGTCCTTTAAAAGAGGGAGTATATAAGATATTTCTCCCGCCTTCCTAGTATGCCTTCGTGGTGTGGTGGTCTGCACGCTGGGCGCGTATTCCAGAGGTCTGTGGTTCGATTCCCGGCGAAGGCTTTGCTCATTTTTCATCTCTCTTGCTTCAAAATACCTAATGTATCTACAGCAACACTTACTTGAAAAACAACTTTTAATTAAACTAAAACTTAAATGGTTTTAAAATATTATGTTGCATTAAATATTATTCTATGAAAAATTAATTCCAAAATTTTGAAAGGCTTTTCACAGTTTAAACATTCAGGGTAACTTTTTCACCTTTTCCACAGTCTTCTAGAGAAAGCACAGGAAACCTACAAATCAAATTTTGTTTTCTTTTCTGAAAGATACGTTAAATGACATAAATTAGAATCTTTTCCTCTCTCAGAAATAAATGTGATTAAATATTTTTGATCCCAAGTCTAATCAGTTAAAACCTACTTACTCAAAAAAATCTTAAACTTTCCTGTAGTCTACTGAATGAAGTAAACATTGACACTTCGTCAATGCTTCGTATTCCCGGAAACAAGCTGGTAACATGGATTTTTTCCAAGTGTGTAGTGAACATGAACCAATTTCCTTTGGAAAATTCTCCTCGGAGGGATAAGACCTTAGGTAGAAAATCTTTGTGTGCTTTGCTATAACTAGTTACCCAAACAATGCAAACCGCATTCCTCTTTCGAAGTTGCAAATTAAATCAGCATTTCTTAAGCTATCTGGTTACCTCTCTCCTTGCTTGAAATAATTTATCGTAACTCTTCCTATACTTATTTGCTTCTTCTCCAGTATATTCCTATAGAGAGAGAAAGAGAGAAAGAAAGAATGGAAAGATTTACGATTTTCTTTATATTACATAAATATATTTAAATAACTAACTCTGTTATAAATATTAATTTTTAGAATTTATTCTACCCCTTTCGCTCCAAATTATTAGTAAAACAGTATGCAATATAATACTTTAAGCTCTTAATAATAAAAATTCCGTGTACATACTGTCACGCATATTTGTTTTGCAATAGCAACAAAGCATTTAAAGTATTTAATTAACAGAATGATTAGTAGAATCTCAACAAAACTGAGAATAAAATTTATTAATGGAAGTCGTGAGTCACTATATTTAGCAGTTTGCAGGCAGTTTCTTTGCTTTGATATGCAGCATTAAAATCTCTATCTACAGTAAATTGTTAGAGATGATAACATATCCGAAAGGGAAGTGCAAAGCATGATTTCATTCTTCATGGGGCCCACCAGCGGCCGAGCGGTAAAGTCGCTGAACACTGGTAGCTCGGTCCGAGGTTCAAATCCCGCGAACGGGCTGGCTGCATGGGCGTTTTCGTGGTTTTCCCCATGTGTAACGTGTATACGAGCCAGTTTCCCTTAGAAAGTCCTCCACGAAGGCATCCCTCCTCTTAGGCAGATAGCCCTCGAGGCTTTGCCATACTCACACACACACATTCTTCATGTCATGTTGTTGGATAAAATATATCTAGTTTTAGCATAACAGTATGATAAAATTATTGCCAGTCTTCTCGAATGTCTGTTGTCTTCTCGAGTCCTAAAGTCTCCTAGCGTCTTCTATCGGATGCTATTGCCCCACTTTGAGAAACATATGTTGAAATGATATTAAATTATTCTTCAACAATACCTAGTTATTTTAGGTAAGTAATATTCCCAGTGTTTAAATAATATCTGATATACTTTTATTTGCTCATCTTAAGCACTTGTACTCAGTGAATAAAAAGGTACTCCTTTAGAACGTCATTTTCGATACAAATATCACGTTTTCAATTTTCGTCGAATGTTGGTGTCTGGTCGAATGTCAGTGGTTGAATTGATAAGACCTCTGAACTCTAGAAGTTCGTCCCTGCCTCTATGGGCATCCAGCCGGTTGCCTGCAAGGATATTTCGTGGTTTTACCCATTTGTACAGGAAATACGAGCCCGTTTTCCTTAGGAAATCTTCCAAAGAAGTAGGCCTTTTCTTAGGTTATATGTTTTGCTATAATCAATTAAAGAACCAAAGAAACCAAAAAATGAAGAAGATATATTTATTTGCATTGTTACTTTATAGAGTTACACATGATCTGGTAATGCTGTTTTAGTCCTATAATACTAGCAGACGTGAAGGTATGTTTGAGATGAAGTGTTAAGAAGGTTATAATAAACTTTCTATTTAAACAAAACTTCAATCATAACAACACGCTCTTGTGCTACAATAACCACAGCTTGTGGTGAGGCAAACAAATAGAACAATCAAATCTAAATTATACGTTAAACAGTAGTCGAGGACTACACAATTAAATATGCTGGCTCAGTAACTTTGCCAATACATCAGATTTAACGTGTCGGGAACGAGAGCCCGCAAAAGGCAAATAATTACAACTGTTACAGCTGGCAGGAACTAACCCTGTAGCGCGCACGCAATTCCAGAAATACTCTCTGTTTCAAAATCCAAAAATCTCAACTCAAACGACCACCATAATTTGAATTCTGGTGAGGAATAGGGAAATTAGTAGTAAAACTTGAAATTATAATAACTGTTTAATTAACAAAAGAAACTTTACAGTTTCTTAAATGCTAGTTAACATTAAAACTTAAAGCTATTTACATTAAAATAGAATTTAATTTTACTTATATTAAAATTAAATGTTTAAAAGCTTCTCAGTTTGAGTTGAAACACAATTTCAATTTAAATTTTATCCTTTGGGTCAATAGCGGTTTGGAAATAAAAAATGAGGATCTGAGACCAAAATTTGCTTGTTGGTACGTGTGTTTAATTTCAGAGTATGGATAGTAAAGTATGAATATAAGCCGTGTGTTTAATTTTAGAGTATGAATACTAAAGTATGAATATAAGCCTAGCGTTTATATTCTTTTTTAACTACTTCTTTTTGCTTTAAAATTGTCAAAATCATAATAATTTATTTCTTTTACTTATATACTTTTTCCCTTTCTTTTAGGAAAACACTTAGGTAAGTGAGGAGACTGTAGAAATCAAATCGAGCATTTTGCTGTAAAATTCCATTTAAAAAAAAACTGTACTAAAACCTTAAATAACCTTAAATATTTTTCGAAGTGATTGTTTTTATATGGAGGTGATATACTGGTAACTGGCATACGGCAGACAGGCAAATGATTTTCTGTATCTGCATCTTATAACTGACTTGTGCCCTAGAATTTCCTAGTTTCCTTCAAATTTCTGTGCTTGGCATGCCGCTTAGTGGCGCGCAGCACAGAGAAGGAAGACGAATCTTCCTCCCCGAGAAAAATTTCCTGGTTTAAACAAAATTGCATGTATATGTCATGAATAACACTTTTTAAAAGCTGATTCTGAACTAGCATTAGATCCTATGAAAAAGGAAGCAGCTGAATTAGTTGAAAAGGAATGAATGTCTTATGTTGAGATTATGCTGAATGTGAAGTTCCTATGGGCTGACCAAGCCAATAAAGTTATATATCCTTTCCGGGAATATGTTTCTGCTTTTGACAGCAACTGAGAGCGAAAAATAGAAGACATGAAAGTTGCATCATCCTTGATCTTACTTATAATCAGCTAAGTAGTTGGTTAAAAGGAAAGTACGTTAATTGTAATCATTTTCTTAATCCTCCCTAGTATTCTGTAAGTATTGCTGTACTGTATTCGTTAAAAAAATGTTACAGCAAATATCAGCAAAAATTCCGCAACTAATTAATAAAAAAACACAAACAGAAATTAGTACAAATAAAAATTTATTACATACTAACATTTTTATACGGTTAATCGGAAAGTATACATTTCTACAATAAAACATAATTCATTTCATTATCCTCTGAATCATAAGTCATATAAGTTTATTTATCTTGAACAAATTTGTTCTGCGTTATGATGTTGCTGTCTTCATATACAGTCATATAATATCCACTAACTTCTTACTTGTTATTTACAAATAAAATACATTCGCAAAATGAACTTGCCTATAAAACTGGCTAAAAACTAATCTAAGTGAAACGACGATGACACAAAATGCTCTACAACACATAAAGGCTACAAAAGCGGTGGACAAACAAAATGTTATCATTTATAATGATTACTGTATCTGTGCAGTGACTATAATCATATGCCATCATAAACAACAGACTAGAATGATATTTCAAATTTAACTAAAAGGCATATATTAGATCAATATTTCAGATTATAAAACAATTTTCAAAATTAAAAAAGTTTCATTGAAGTAAATGTGTTCATGCTTCTTTAGATAAATTTTCAAAAGAAGTCATGTAAAATATCTTAATTCAAATTACCACAATATTGTAAATGAGGTAGAATGGAAGTATAGTATTGAATTCCAATCTTGTTTTCCTCATTATATTTACTGCCAGAATGATAATGTAATAATGTAATGACTAACCGGGATTTTTGTAATTTATTACAATGTTTTCATTGAGAGTTTACCTAAAAATTTCTTTCTAGTTAAAAAAAAAAAAAAAAAAAAAAAAAAAAAAGGGCTTAACTGATAAATCTCATTACATATGACAGCAGATGAACAATTAAAAAGTAACAAAATGAACTCTCATAATTCAGTGTAACTGAATTAATGAAGATATATCTATCAATGAGATAATGAATTTTCAACAATGCATGATTGTACGTAGAGAGCTTTAAAAATATAAAATGCTAATAAAATAAAAATGGCACCATATCTTGAGTCATTATTCATAAAATAAAATAACACAGAAAGAGAAAATTTATAAAAGTAATTTTTAAGTACCATATAGACCCACCAGTGACCCAGTGTTAACCGCTGAATACTGGTATTTTGACCTGGCTTGGGTTCAAACCCAGGTGAACAGGGTGATTGCATGGCCGATTTTTTTGTGATTTTCTTCACGCGTAACATGAATCCAAGCCATTTTTTTTTTCAGAATGGGCTCCAAGAAGACATCCCTCCTCTTAGGCAGATAGCCCTTAAGGCTTTGTCATATTCAAATAACCCAACCTAATCAAATAAGTTTGACCCTTTGATCTTTGGATTAGCAAGTATACAAGTTTCTAGAACAAATATTCCAGTACTTTTCGTTGCGTGTGACTCTTTTAAAACAGAATATATTCCAAATTGTAGCATATCAGGAAATATTTAATGAACTTTAGTTAACCTGTGAAAACAATCAGACTGAGAACGATAAAAGCACTGGACATTATATTTAGTTTTTGATTGCTTAAACTTTAGTAAACTTTTCATATCTTCTAGTTTTTGATCTAGACAAAGATTCGTTATTTGTGTTTTAAGGAATATTTATTCCATTTTTTTGGCATCAAAACTGAAAGTAGGTAAAAATCTACCACCAACGTTGTTGATGTTGAAACAAATGCGGATTATACGGTGGCACTACATTGTTCATATTCATGTTATAGGAACTGATGCAAGAGTTTGTGACACAATTGCTAATGTTGGTGACTCCAGCTGCTGCCAGAGATGTTAATGATGTAATAGGCGGTAAATCACTATGAGGGGATTGTAGTCCTATGGACTGAGAATGGGAGTCCTGGTGTTTAACCAAGCCATTCATGGGTGGCTGGCAAGGCTTGCCATCTCTCACTAGTACTGGAACGGCCACACGACGAGGAGAAGGCAGAGGATTCATGTCTAGTCCTTTCTCTTGACGTGCTCTCTTAGTCTTGTACCTATGGTTCTGAAACCAGATTTTCACCTGGGTTGGGGTCAAACGTATAATACTTGCAAGGTGCTCCCTTTCTGGAGCAGATAAGTACCGTTGCTGACGAAACCTTCTCTCTAATTCGTATGTCTGCGCTTTAGAAAAAAGCACTCTTCTTTTTCGCTTTTTTTGAGGCAAATTGTCTCCTTGACCACCGCTGCTAGACTCTTCTCCCTTGTCGGTATCACTGGCACTGTTATTTGGGTTGGAAGACTCGAGCGTGGACGTAGTTGCTCGCATATTCAAAGATGTCAAAGGTGATGATAGCGAGTCCTTGTCAATGACACGGTTGCAAATATCGATACTACCTTCTTCTGATGATGACGAATATTGCTCGATGCTGTCAATGCCTACAACTGATAAAGCATCAGAAGTTGCGTGGTCCATAAGTGAGGGCTCCGGAGATGCTTTACTGGGAGACATACGACCCATTAGTGGTGTAGTTTGATTTGAAGGAAGTACAGAGCTTACTGAAGACCGAGATGGAACTGAAGAATCATTGTGTAAGTCTGTAGCAGATGTTAAATTTGCAATAGCATCCAACTGCAGATTAAAAGCTATAAAAAAAAAAAGAAAAGCAGTATGTTACTTAAAATATCAAATTAAAAATAATAAATCTTAGTTAAAGTGTATTTTGAAATCTGAATGAGTATTATACGGTATTCTCTTTCTAAAATAGTTGCTTAGATATTTTTTACTTAAAGTGCCAGTCCTGGCTTATTTTTAAAACATCCATAAAAAATTAAATATAGCAAAGAAATATGTCTTAATAAAATATTTAAAAATATTTTATCAACAATTTGTTATAAAAACCAAGAGTAAGGCTTAAAATATTAAAAGTATTGTTTATTTTGCATAGATCTAAGGTTCTGAAACACGAAACAAATAATCCTGCATCCGAATGTAAAATTTAGATTATGGGGGGGAAGGGGGTATTTTTCTCAAGAACGTTTTTTAAAAAATGGAGTCTAATCAAATAAAAACAAAAACAAAATCTACAGAATGATTTAAAGTAAATTAAATAACATAAAATCCGGAAATGAATTGACTAATTTTAATTTTCCCCCATGTTTATTCTGTTATTTATTTTATAAAAAAGTTAGTATTTTTTAAAAGAGGGGAGACTATCACGGGGTTTTAAAAAGTATGTTCCAGACTACTTCAACTGATAGTTTATTCACAACCGTATCTACGCATTTCTGTTTGCTGAATATCATATCAGCAACAAGCACACATAGTAAGCTTCTTTTCATCTGCCGTAATAACCAAAATAAAGGTGATGTGATCAAAAAGCAGATAGATTTATTAAGTATTGTAGAATTATTTTGTTAAGCATAAAAAAGTACCTTGGGAAGGAAATAATCGTCATTGTAATTAACAGTATATATTGTCTTCAGCTTGCTGTCCTCAAGGAAGAAAGTTAAAGAAGGATGTTATATAAATTATATAGTTATTTTATCAAACAATAAAAGTAACTGTTTACTGGAAAGTTTGAGATAAATGCTTGTTATCTTATTTCTTGATAATTTTATTTGCATTCTATATATTCTTCAAAGTAATATGTATATATATACATATTACAGTACATTTTCTCTTTTTTATAAGTAATGCGCATAGTAAAAAAAAAAAATAACTTACAAATACATGGGAAATTGCAGAAAGCTATTTCTATTAGGATTCTCTATTAGAATTTGCTGTCTTTTAAAAATAACTCATTTTCATATAATAATAAAATAAATAATAAAAATATTAAAATTTCATGAATTTCTATATCACTGGCTTGGAATTTTCTGATATCAAATAACAATTTTTACCCTTTCTTTAAAAATAAAGAGCAAATTTTGATGCCACTATCTTCTTTGTTTAATTCTCATTTAGAGAAAAATCTCATAAATTTCCCACTCACTTCGTTGAATAATTCGTTGATTCATTGAATAACTTTGATGCTACTTTTGTCTCAATCATGGCGGGAACCTCTCAGTTTTGAATTAAAAGTAAATTTATGTTTGCATCGATTCATAAATATCGCACATATGCAAATGTTACAGTAAAAAATTTTGCTGTCGTCGGGAGATCGGGTGTCTTGCATTAAATATTGCGATGTTCCCTAAATGCTTCTACTCAATCACAAGCTTTCATCAAACCTCGAAGTTAAACAACCAACCAGTGTCGTGAACCTTCTGCAAACCGCAACTAAATAAAGGTGTCAAATGAAGTACAAGATCCATCCAATCCCAATAAGGTTCTGCAACAACATCAGCCATAAAGTCAAATAAAACGGAAAGAGCCAGACCCCAAAACATGCAGCTGCATGCTTCCCCCAAAAAAGATCCTTGTGTCAGATAAAGGGATACGATTTAATTAAGCACCAGTCTTTCACTAAGCTGTCATGTTCCTCCTAGATTAGGGCTATTATGTCCACGCGGCATTTCGTTTAATCCCTTGTCGACGGCCGCTGATCGTGAGTCATTGGTTGCAGAAGCTAGTATCATGGGGCGTTACGATCCGTTTTTTCCCCTTGCTAAGCAGTGAAACCTTTCGTTGGATAATAACTGGCGACAAATTGGGTATTACGGTATGTTTGAACTCATATTTTGTAACATTTTAAAGGTTCAAACGTTTGCAAAACATCGACCGCTTCTGAAGGGAGACATTAAAACAAAATTTAGCTTCTTGCTTGGATTTTTCGCTTCTCTTAAAGTTAAGGCAACATCAAAAGGTACTTTAAAATGCTCTACATATGCTAAGAACGTACGATTTTACGTTTTAAAATGACATCAGAGTTTAAGGAAAACTAGCAGATTATGCAAATCAAAGTACAAGAAAATTAGTATATGGCCTGAAGCAATACAGCCTAACAAACTACATTTAAGCAAGAAAATTGACTTCACTGCTAGTTAATAATATAAATTCTAAGAAATTTCAGAATGGATCAGGTGTCATTGTTTGTCATTATATGAAGAGAGAAAATTTTTTTCAGGAATCATCACGTCGATCAATGATTATCCATATTCGTTGCATCTGCTGTAACTCTGCTGATTCTTAATCTTATGCATTTTATTTTTCACCTGTGTTTTAATTTTTAGAGATTTTTCACAACAAATACATAACTTTCAATTAAGAAAAGAAATAAATCTTTTTAAGTTTTACATCTATGATGTTTTGATAGATTCATATTAGCGCTATTTCTAAGCATTTGTAAAAAGCAAAGTTAAAAGCATGTCAGTTTCATTAAATAGAAATGGAATTATCTTAAGAGTTTGACGACCGTCTTTAACATTTTTCTTGATGATTGAATGGAAAATCTTTCGCCCTCTCTTTTCCCTTCTGTCTGTATATGTTCATTTTATGTGAATAGGAACATTTTTAATTAAATTAGTCCAATTTCGAAGACACTGTAAATTTACAGAACTTCACAACATTGCAATCATTATGAATGTAAATTTTCAGTTTAGTCACTTATGAAACAATTACGTGTCCCATACATTTTTCACTTATAAATTGAGATATTAACTTAAGCGATATGAATACGACGAGTGCACTATATGATCTTACAATTTATTATAACTAATTCATACTTTGACTCCCATAATTAATAGTCCAGTTATGAACATGAGGCTTGATTTCCTTTTCTTAAACTTGTGCATTAAGAATTTTGTATTTAAAAACACATGGTACTAATTTTTCAAGAATAATGTTAATAGGTACAGTTTTTATCCTAATGATGTTGAAATTTTTGTTTAAATAACATATTATATATTGATCTCTAACATATCAAGAATATGCAAATACCAGCATTTCAAAGAAAGCTATGAAATTCTATTTTTTCTTATATGAATTTTTACACAATATTTAAGAATAAAAGTGTACATAATGTTATGATGACAGGAAATGACACAGTAATTTCATTGAATTAAAAAAGAAAATCTAATAACGAAAAATTGTGGAAAACTGAACCATGTACTCACGTTTATTTTCTTCTATAAATTAGATCTAACTCTTAAGGTCGTATATGGCATGCAATCATGGCATCGAAAGACATAACTTCTTATAAAAGTGCTAAGCTGAGGAATTACGTGGAAATACTTTTTAACGAAACGAAACACAAGCTTAATAACAGATCTCGGTAATAAATATTTAATGACGACAGAATGCAGGAAAGATAAGATCTTAAATAATACAGTTTTCAAAAAAATAAAAATTAAATTTATAGACCTTTGGTACTACATGGGTTTCCAACTAACCCTGACATTAACGAGCACTTAAGTAATGGGATGAACTAGCCTATTTAACATAAAGAGATTTTTAGCCACTCATAAGACTGATAATTTAAATCAACTTGCTTCTAAATAGTCGCAGTTTCGTTTAACGATTATTCAAAAGCAGGTCCTGGAAAATATTTCGGCAAGCCATAGGATCGTCTTCACTATATTTCGTGCTTGCAAACATAACCCTATAGCGATAAGCGTGTTAGACTGTTTAAGAAATTACATTTGTAGTTTTCTTTTGAGCAATTTGAGGCACATACATCTACCGTTTTGTTTCTATAACTAATACAAGAATAAACTCAAATTAACAAATCGTTATATGGGTATTTTCGAAAATTTTTAATGTGTTAAACACCATTTAACGACTTTACAATAAAACTTCCTTTCCCGTTTGTTTTATTGATGAATGTAAATGATCATGATCTATGTAAAACAACAAAATTCTTACTGTGTGAAATTTTATTCAAATATTATGTTTGAACAAAAACGCATATTAAAAATAAAAACACAAGCATTTGTCAGGTTTAGTGTCTTCTATTCTTATTAAAACTATTCAATAGTTAACTATGGCAGTATGATTCTGGTAATTAAGATTGAGTTACTTATATAATGCAAAAATATGGAAAAATCACGTGGATCATCATAAGGAAATGATCAAGCAGGCAATATTAAGAAAAATGAAATCTAATTTAGTCTTGAACCTGAAAAACATTTGTTGTTGGACAATTTCATTGAAAGCATTCTAGCGCTATTTCAACAAAGTGTGTGTGTATATATAGAGAGAGAGAGAGAAAGAGAGAGAGATTACATTCATTTTTTTTTTTTTTTTTTTTTTTTTTTTATTCGCTTACTTCTGACTTCTGAATTACGTGCCACTAAAACCGCATTGCTTGAATGGTTTTGAAATTATCTTGACAGTGATATCTCTCTGTTTTTTTAGCAAATGCATAGCAAAGTCATGTCATGAAAATACAGTTATTTAAATGAAAATCAATTTAAAACATAGACCTTACTGTTTAAGGAAATTCCAAACTTTTAATTTAAGAATTTGAAAATAATTTTGAGGTCTTGAGAGGAAATACTGCTCCTTCCCTTTTTAAATCATTAAAACAATATTATGAAAATAAAATCCTTTCAAATCTTTCTACGGCTAATAAACTAGTGAGCTACAAAGAATTGAAAATGAATAAATATGCTCCAGGAATTTTGCTATAGCAGTCTGTTCCGCCCTTTGTGGTACTTTTAGAAGATGCCTCTTAAATTAAATACTCGTTGGTGTACAGAAATCTAGTTGCATTGAGACTTTTCTATATGGAATCTATTGCTGACCTATGAGACCATAATGGTCCAAGAGGCATAATGGACGATCGATCGAAATAAGAACAAAATATACGCACTTATATTACATCGAGCCCCGTTATAATAAGTACAAGACACATCATATACAGAGCTAAGGTTTTGTAGTATTAAGTTATGTTAAAAACGTTTTCAATATTTTTGGGATCTGAAGAAATTTTTTTAAACTGCCTGTATACTTAGTTGTTTTAATTCTCACGCTTGCAACGCATTAACAATTAGATTTTCAAAACACTGTCAGACATAAATTATATATTCTTAAAAAAGTAATCAATAACGCTAAAATATTTTACTGTACAAGGCACAAGAAATGTAAAACATACTGCTAATAAAGTTTCTAATTCTGCAAAAATTTAAAAATAAGAGTTTTAAAATGCTTTTGAGATTTTTAGCAAATTTTATCCGACTCCCCGAGGAGTCGTGGATCCTCCTTTGAGAATCCCTCTCTGTTGTATTATTTCTAATGAGGAACAAAACCGCATTTTGCAGAAATAGATTTAAAAGAGAATTAATACCAGCAATTTATTTCGTGAAAGAATTGTTAAATGAAGAAACGATTGACATTTGAATCTGTAAATGAAACTAAGGTTAAATAAAGAGATCATTCTATAAAAGCACTCTTTCGTAGACGAATATTATTGCATTACGTTTCAAAATTGTGAGAGAATAATCGAATGCAGATGAAACAATTAAATTTTAAAAGGCTTATAAAAGCATTTAAATAATGAATGAGTTTCACACACCTCAGCTGACAAGTGAATAATGAATAATAATTTACATTTAGTGTGTGTGTGTATTTAATTATGGCAAAGCACACTAGGACTATCTGCCTAAGGGAAGGGATGCCTTCGTGGAGGACTTTCTAAGGGAAACTGGCTCGTATACACGTTACACATGGGGAAAACCCACGAAAACACCCATGCCGCCAGCCCGTTCGTGGGATTCGAACCTCGGACCGAACTACCAGTGTTCAGCGACTTTACCGCTCGGCCGCTGGTGGGCCAATTTACATTTAGAGACACAAATAAATTTAAAATGCGCCAAGAATTTCAGGAAATACAAATTGCTTATTTTATTATAATATAACATTCTGCGGTTTAAATTTTTCCTCTTTTTACGTAAGAAATCCATATTATCTTTCTCCCTTTTTTATTATATAGTGATATTTTACTTCTGAGTAAAGCATCAAGGTGTATAACAAAAAAATATAGGACGTAGCTGTAAAGTAAAACTAAAACAATCGTCTTGGTTTTCCAGATGTTTAAATTTCACTTACGCGTATCATTAGCTCTAACGTTAACACTCGTAGATATAACCAGAGTTAGCGTTAGAAATTCAGAGTTTTGACCTTCTGTGATGGACCTTTTGAACAGAAGTTTGGTTGTACTAATCTATAAGTTAAAACATTTTCTACTAATATTTTTGTAGAGCTCACCCGAGTTGCTAGCAAAAAGTATTTTAGAGATTTAGTCCAGAAAGATTTAGATCAATCAGTCAGTCGAAATCTCCCAAAGGTAGCTTGCGAAATATCTTCAAAATATTATAAACTATTCATCAAACAATGCAAAAAAATTAGCCCAGAAATTAATAAATTTAATCAATACTGTTTCCTGAAGGAAAGAGAACTCACTAATTCTAAGTGAAGGTACATTTTCCCTTTTAATGAGCTATAAGGCCGTTACTCTTTTGAAAATAAAAGAAAATCATCTTTATTGTTTTTCGAATAGAGTCAAAAGTTCACAACTGCTACATGTTCTTCTTAATTCTGCCACGAACCATAAATTTGTTTCTATAAAACCACCACCTTTCTGCATTCTTTTTACAGCATCAAATATATCAGTATTCCTAAGTGGCTGAGATGTTTCTGTCAGAACTGAAAAACTTGGTAAACAACAACTCGATCCGTGCTGCCCAGACGGTATAGTGGTTAGGGATGCCTGACTGCGATACCGAAGGGTCCGGGCTCGAATCTCGGAGAAGGCATAGATGTAACTGTCTGTCCGTTCATAGGAGGAAAAGATGGCCCACCTATTGGGTGCCTCCATAATAAAGAGACCGCCACATCTGGCACTTAGGAGTGGCCGATGCCGGCATAGGCAAGTGCCCGCCATTTGAAAAAAAAAAAAAAAAAAAAAAAAAAAAAAAACCTCGATCCGTAGAGTTTGTCAAGAAACCGTATTGCTGAAAATAATTTTTAATTGTGTTCCGTACACATACACACACACCATCACACACACAAAAAAAAAATAAATAAAAATAAAACTTGGTCATAGATAGCAGATCATAATGCACTTGTTTATGCACTTCAACAAATGCCATTTTTACTAGATTTATTAGTACGAATGTTTTAAACATTCAATAATTCTTTGGTACTCTAACTGCAATTCAGATTATGTGTTAATGTACTCCTTGTAATTGTAAGGTATCAACATTTTTCACGCCTTTTTATTTAATTTGCATTGCATGGAAAGAAATTTCATACTTCATGAAATAGCATGGGTTTGTGTGTTATCAGTAAGCGTAATTTTTCCGAGAAGTTTTTCTTTTATAACTACCCATAAACAAGAGGTCTCTTTAGTTAGCTTTCTACCGAAATATGACTTAGTCTTTAAAACTCATCGTCTCAGCTCATAAAAAATATCCAATTTATCGGCACAAAAACTTCTTCTTTAGCATTATTACTTTCAAAAAACGTTCTTACATTCATGACATTCGTTACCAGACGCATTCGTTACTCTTTCGCGTATAATGTTCGAAATACAATCTTGTTTCTGACTTTGAATTTTTCAAACCGTCCCGCATTTCACCCTTCCCTCTTCAGCAAGTTGGTAAAGTCTACAGCTTTCTTATGTAATAGTGCACCAGTTGCAGGAATATAAAATTAAGAGTTTACTTACAAAAATATGTTTTGTGTAACTAACTTTCATAAATGTTATATTTAAATTGTTTTAAGACAGCTACTCCGACAATGAGAAAAGTTGATTTCCTCCCCCTCCCAAAGTTTTTCCCCTCTGGATGGGCTAGTGTTTTCGAAATGCTAGTTTTACCCTTCCAAATGCTAAATAACATGCTGGGAAGGATAGCATGTTTTTCCGTTAAGTCTTTTTCCTTTATATTAAAATTCTTCTTTAACATCCATAATCAGATGCTTTTTATTAGGCATTTAGAGTTTTTAATTAACATTTTAACTTTTTATGCATAACTTACACAGGTATCATTCATCAGTGCTAAAGACAGAGAGTTCCCTGTCACTTAAGCTCATATGAAAGCTCATATGGAATTTTAAGGATGCGAAGAATTTCAAACAATACCGGTAGCTCGAGATTGATTCATAATCAATTGAAATGCAACCCAGCTACCGGCTATTTTAATTCGTCAAAGAAAACCCACTTTCAGAAAAATAATTCGAAGACCTGATATCGGAAAACTTTTCATAAGATGTCGAGTTCTGTTAGAAAATTTAACACTGAACTATAAAAAGCCAAAATTTCATAAAAAGTTTGACTTCAATGTATATTCGTATTATCGAAAATTTATTCTAATATAAAATATATGTGATATTTTAAATGCTTTGATGCATGCAGAGATATTGGTTACTAAATAGAATAAAATAAAAACGACTCTCAAACTATGTCTTATGCACTTTATTTTTACAAATATACAATATCTGTAACAAACCAAAACTTTATGTAGAAACAGAGTTCAAACAAGTAGTTCACTGGTACCCTTCAAACAATTGCAATGCCATTCAAACAGAGTAGTGTCATCCATCTAGAAAAGACAAGAACATTAGTATCTAATTTAATAATATATTTATATAATATATAATACATGTACAGTATTAATTGCTCCGAAAGTTACTTATAAAATATCATTCTAACAGCCTACCTCTTTTTTTGTCTTCCCTGTCATTGCCTTCACTTTCATAGATTAGCTTCCACAAAAGTTTAAAGAGTAAGCAGAATAATGAAATGAAAATAAATATTATCCATAATATCGTAAATTAGTGCAAAGCTTCAATAGCTTAAAGTTTATTTTATTCATGCTCTGGAAGTGATTTTCTTTGAAGAACAATTTTAAACTGTTACTCATAATTTAGTCTTTTCTCCATGCCTAAATATTTATAGTTAATCTATCTTATGCAAATGTAGACTGCAAAAAATATGAAAGTCAAATTTATGATTTTATTTGAAATTTTTGATTATGAATGAGGGCTAATTTAAATGTCAGAAAACGATTGTTATTTTGGGTAAGTTATACAAAGGATATTGTGTTGCTTCCTACTGCACAAAACATATAGTATTATTTCACTGCATGTAAACATTTAATATTTTACAGTAGCAAAGAAACATTACTGTTGTTTTATTACTATACACTTAAAAATGTGCAGTATTAAATTGCTTTGATATTTATTTGGCAAATTCTCCAAAGTAACTTGCTTATCTTATTCTTTGCACAAATTTACTACTAACGTTTTTCTGCAAGAGGATATTTAATACCTACCTTTCCTTTAATGTTATAAAATAAGCATATGAGGAAAAGACTGCTATAAGTATGTACAGAGAATTTGCAAAGCCATTTATTTAAGTATCCGGTAAAAATTGTTGGCATGTTCCTATTAAGCTCAAATGTATAAAAAAAAATTAAATATGGTGTTGCGAAAGATATAACGAATAACTAGCTAAATGGCCTCAACTGAAATCTGTATTAAGAATTCAGGTTAGTCATTTATTATTATTCCTTAAGCTAAAAGTTAATTTTGTCTAATATTAATAAAAGCTAGTTCATTTCATTTAAAGTATTATTCATTTGCTCTTATTACATTATCTCTGCATTCCTTCCTTGCGCAAAAGCAAAAATAATTTCGTACGTTTAATGTCACACTGTGTAGTTTAATTTTATGAAATTTATCAGTATTCATTCGAAACCATTAACAAAGAGGGATTTTCTATAGCTTTGGTGTTTTCGTATTACTATTTTGAGTTAAATTTTATCTTTTTAGAAATGTAATTTTCATTTAGAATTGTTATATTTATTATTTTTAATTCAAATCTACTCAAAAATTTACTCTGCTATTGTCGGGTGGCCCGAGATAAACCGAATAGGATACGGCAGACTTCATTTGCTTTGGGTTCGGTATTGGTATATTTTAATTATTAAGTATACAGGAGATTTACTTCATACCAATAAAAACCGCTCAGACTGCTCACTCTTACACAAATTGATCTCTTCATTCTTCCTATCGTTAGGAAAAACTACGTTGTCATGTATGAAATATTTTATAATTTACCTTCAAAAGCGTTTGAATCATCTTAAATTCACATGACTAAATAGACTGTTTTAAAAGAGATTTTAAAAATGTTTAAAAAAAGATTAAAACAGAGAGAAATTAGAAGAGTACTTACCAGAATTATGAGTACTCCTCCACCATCTTCTCTGAAGTGCACACTCTTCCTTTATCACGAAAAAAACTTGTACGATATCGCGTGAGGAAACAATAAACTAAGTTAAGCTTTTGAAGTCAATAAATACTACTTGAAAAGATGAATATATTACATCATACTAGTTTTGATGACAAACTGTAGGTTTTAACATACGAAACACTAGTTTTGATGACAAAATTATAGATTTAAACAAATATTTTATCATTTGGAAATTTCAAAGGTAATTTCATTAACTGATCATGTTAATAAACGTCTATAGAAAGAGATATTTCATTAATAATTTGAAAAATTGTTAAGTACATTACATAAAATATAGTTAACTACATTTATAATCTGAGTTACATTTATTATCATATTACTCTTTCGATAATATCCATATTTAAATATATTTGCCACTCTTTTTTAATATAATTTCCTATGATAAAATGTATGATGATATTCGTGATAAACACTATGACGAAATTCAAACTTAATAGAAAGTTATGGAAAACATTTAATTAATTTCTTATGAACTTACCAACTAAGTCTGCAGTCATTTATAAACAAATACTATGCAAGACACCAATATGAATTAATATATATGTATAATTTAAAATATAAGTACTTTGTATAAATTATAGTGTGCAAGCTTTATTAAGCAGATGTAAATGTATAACTTAAGAGTATAAGTATTTATTCTAAATACGATGTGCGGACCGTATCAAACATATGAGCTAATTCCATTCAGCAACTTTTAAATTAAAAGTAACAGAGCAAAATGTTAAAGCAGAGCGAAATGTTATTAGAAGTAATAAATTCATGATTTTTGCCATTAATTAAGGTAAAGTTGTGATTTTTATTTGTCATATGCTCATTTCCCTTACTCGTTTCACTCTCTCATTTCACTCGTTACATTACTGATTATAAGCTAAATTTGCTAGAAGCTTATTTACACTTTCCATAAAGATTCCGCAACAAGCCATAATCAGTTTTTCCTAAATTGAGTATAAGAGCATATTTGATTATAACCAAATTCTTGTATCCAAATTTTTAAGTAAAAAAAAAAATAAACTCCAAATTTTGGTGAGTAATCATTTATATCAAACTTTTAACAGAATATTAGGATAACTAAGTTTTAAATTTTCCTTTCCTATTTCTGAAACAAAAGTCTAAACTGTAAGAAAGAAATATTGGTTCTGGAAACAAAATTGTGTCTCAAGAATTATAACAAAATGTTGCATTAAAATGCAATTAAAGTGAATTTTCTTAGCTTTCATTTGGAAAGAGGGAGTTTCATTCCCCAGCATTTATAAAACTCTTATTTATTTCACGATTGTAAATTTGCAGTCTTTAGCAGTGCATTAAAATACATAAAACTTACATCCAGATAAATAACTTAATATTTAAAAAAATTGTCTTAGCATATACTGCGTGAAGCTCCGAGGTCATAATTATAAACTCGTTAAATTTCATAAACTGAAAACTGTTTTATTTAGGAATCTCGAATCAAGTATTTTAATTTAATCATTTAAATTAAACTAGCCAACTAAACCAAAAATAAATTAAGGCTATACGCCAGAAAAATATCTATTTTATTAAATTAAAAAAAGAAGTTTTTTTTTTTTTTTTTTTTTTTTTTTTTCAGTTCTATCCGTCATAATTTTCTTCATTTGTGCCTTTTAAGTGATAATTTAGAATAATAAACCTAATAGGGGCTAAGCAATACCGCGTCATCTTCAAAAATATGTTAATCATTTAACAGAAGGTTATTTGAGATTAAGTTTTACATCTTCCTTTTCAATTTTATTACTTTTCTAACAGGTAATTAATGTAAGCGAAATATTTAGTCAAGAACCTAAGAGAGAAATCCTAGTTTTAAATGCAAATACAAAAACCTATTCGGTAAGTTTTTTTTTTTTTTTTTCTTTATGTGCAAGTCATGTATAAGCGCACTTAAATATCTATTAAAGCTGCCACTCTCCTCTTCTCAATTTCATCTTCGGCTAAGAATGTGCTTTTAGATGGTAAAGAACAGACCCTGCTATTCTAACATGTAGTACGAAACAGCGGCAAAAGACCGTAAGAATCACTTTAGAAATACCCCAATAATGTCCCCTAATGCCTGCATCGTGGGCGGTAATAGCGTCGTCTGATGCTATTCATCTGCCTTAGGGTGTGAAATTCCTTCTAGGGCATGCCGATAACGTCAAGGTGAAAAATCTGCAGCCCACTACCTGGAGGCTTTCATTTTGAATGGGCTGCAGCCTATCTCCCGCAGCCGCCGGCTAGCATCGAGTCAAACTCAAGATCCGCTTTTCCTACAGCATCCGGTATACAATAGGTGAGCTCTTTCTAGCCTTCCAATACGGAAGTCAAGGGATATATATATAAGCTGCTTGTTGCATTGGCTTCTTTTTATTTTTGTTTTGCGAAGAAATAAATGCCGCTATTTTCAAATTTTAGATGTCAGAAAACGGCCGCCGTTAAGGATCAGCGCTCAAATAATAGTAAAAACATTTATTACCTTGTCGAATGACTCCAGCGGATTATTATGCTTAAATAGGCTTGTGAAAACTGTGTTTCCCAGATGCTTCAGTTTATGAGAAAGGAAAGTGATTAACTGTCCGTTGATGTCAGTTGTTATGAAGCTTTCGAAACTGAAAAAAGATATAGTAGACGCGACGTAATTTTTAACGCGCACTCTGTGAATGTTTATCATCCAAGAAATTAAATATTCTGGGTGCAGTTTTCTTGGATATTAATAAAAAAAAAAGCCTCTTGGGTTAGGTTAACTTGACAAATTAAGATTACTTAATTATAATGAAAAAAATAGTATTGCACTAATTTTGTCATTGTATTTAACAATATCTTTTGAATGAGTTTTTGAAATAACTTATTTGTAATAAATAAAGGTTGAATTTATAAAGCTGTATCTTTAAAAGTAAAATTTATGTAATGCTGTATTTAAGTTAACCATTATTTAAATATGATATTTCTTAATAAATATGCTGATTTATGATTTGACAAAACATAGATTATTACAGGAATTTTAAATATTGATATTATTCAATCTAATCAAGTAAACTTCTTTAAAGGGCTGTAAAGACATTAGGTATTTTTTTTTTTTTTTTTTTTTTTTTTTTTTTTTTTTTAAAGCAGGAAAGACGAAAAATTAGCAGCGCCTTCGCCGGGAATCGAACCACGGACTTCTGGAATACCGGCCCAGCGTGCAGAACCACTACACCACGAAGGCACGCTAGGAAGGCGGGAGAAATACCTTATATACTCCCCCTTTTAAAGGGCAAGTTAGGGTTTTTAGGGGACCCAATTGCCAAAATCCTGGGTGTG